CTAACAAGAAAACTACGAAGTAGAAACTTATCAGATGTGGATACCGACTGTAATGATCATGACATGCACCTGTGGCCTAATCTGTCAAGCAAGTCTGATGTTCAACTCTTGTTATACCCCTAAATCGTGAAATTGGGCTTCAATGCTCCGATTATCCACTCTGATTTGCGATCCTTATTCGACTTGTAGTGCCCGAAGGGTTTTCACCATCAAGCCTCTCTCATTTTATTCTTTCTCTCAACTCACCATCGCCTTATGGTGCCTGTGAAGGTTTTCACCAATAAGACTCTCTCATTTTGTTCTTTTCTTCTTATTTCCTCCAATTTTGCAGATGACAAGGCATTAACCATGGTAAAAATATCATATACCCTTGGCATGTCTAAACTCAGCTCTCTCAAAGATTATCCGGGAGGTCTTTTTTGGACTGTAATGTGACTTTTGGACAGGGTTAGAAAGAAAGAATATCATAAAGGCTCAAAACTACTTGAATGGGTTTAGAAATACAACTTTTGGAATCAGATATTTTGCAAAACCGCAACTTTTGCCCCAGTTTTTTTGCCTGGGGACTTTTGAATTTTTATTTTGGTGAGACCGAACTGTGAGGCTACCTACGTATCCTTAAAAGGAATCAGGTCGAACGTAGTTCATGACATAGGAATTGCTTTATTTTTGTACTTTTCTCTTTTTTTTTCTTTTCTTCTTTTCTCTCTCTTTTTCTCTCTCTTTTTTTTCTTTTCTTTTCGTCTCTTTTCTTTTCTTTCTTTTGCTTTACTTACTTCTTTTTTTTTCTAATTTCTTTTATCTTTTCCTCTTCTCTTTTTTCCTCTTTTCTCTTCTTTATTTATCTTCTGTATCTGTGTTTTTGAACTTTGCTACTGATTCCAAAAGAGGGGTATGAAAAAAAACAAATAAGGCTCAAAAGGGGTAACAAAGGATAAAGTGTTTAGATAGCAGAAGGAGGGCCTCCGAATCTCTAAAAGTGTCGAGTACAACACATGCAACTTGAAATGAAAAAACGAAGAGCACATACAACATTTCTTTTACAGCTTCGGCATTGATATCACTGATATGCTTTATTTTTAGTGCCTTGTCATGGATAGAACTCTCGTTGGGTGATTTCTTCTTCACAATGGATACCCTCCGTCAATTCTGAGAAAACTTTCTTGGCTTTATCTTGTAACTTGAGATGCACTTGAACTCAAAGTTGCTTGCTTCATATTGTCCGGGATGCACTCTCCTTTAACGAATTCTTGTCACCCTATTAACTTCCCAAATTATCTGCCCCAGTTTCACATGGTTCGGGCTTCATATGATCTCAAAATCTCTTTACTTACTTCCCACAAATGTCCCTATCATCTTCAAAATTGTTTCATTGCTTCATGATTAGGCTAACTCTTAAAACCAGGCCTAGAATTATGCGTGCATGTCATGTCACTAGAGTTAGCAGGAAAAGAACTATAAAAGGAAAAGAGAACCAAACAAACACTGACTGGAAATAACAGAAAATAGGAAAAATTGCATTAGACAGACGGTGAAAGGGTTTGAACAATAAGACAAGCAGAATAAACTGGGGACAACCCTGGAACAAACCTAGATAACACTAAATGAGTTATTACGACTAAAGGAACTAGGAAAAATAAAAGGATAGAAGAGTTTGAATCACAAGACAATATTCGGATTACAACCCTAAAAATAACCCGGACAACAGAAATGACACCAAAATAAACCACCAAGACTCCTCTCCGGCTAGCCAAGAGATGGAGCGTCTTTCCAATTACCAAGTACGACATCTTAGCCACTGAGTTCTGCATCAACACTACTAGGACCTTCACAAGTCTTCATCACATTGACTTTACCAAATTGCGTTTGGGTCCCTTTTGCCGGCTCATTCTTAAGATCAACCTCTGATAGCGCTGAAAGCTTTGCAGCACGTGGACCTTCGAGGATCTCGGAAGAATTCTCATATTCTTTTTCAAAACAAATCATACCCACCAAATGCGTCTCATTATGAACAGGCGATGGACTTTGGCTAGTGTCTACTGCATCTAGATTTTGCACGACAATGTCACTTGCATCAACAAGCTTCTGAATTGCTTTTTTCAGATGCCAACACCTTTCTGTGTTGTGACCCGAGGTATCAGAGCAATGTGCGCACCTTTGAGAATAATCAAAGTTCTTTGGAAGAGGGTTCGACATTTTTATCTGAATCGGCTTCAACATGTCCAATTGCCTCAACCTTTGGAACAAACTGGCATATGACTCTCCAATAGGAGTGAAAGTCTTTTCTTTTTTCTGTTGTCCTTTCTATTTGTACTCTGGCCTCGGTTGGAATATTTTATGGGCAGGTGGTTGATATGCTTGAGGGGACGGGTAAGACATTTGTGGAAGTGGTGCGGGCCATCGCGGGCCTCGTGGGTGTGGAGCATATGGTGGTGCATTGTGGATAGGGTACTGGGAAAGTGATGTACGACTTTGGGGGTTCTGTAGAGAGAAGTAGAATTGGGGAGGATTATCTGGTGCACAGGGATATCCATGGGGTCGATATCGAGGCTGAAAGCGTTGAGCAGGAATGCCCACCGGATCATCTTTTCTGTTTCTCTTTCTTCCACCCACACTTACTGAGATGTTCTGAATGTCTTCTGTACTATCTTTCAACGCTGAATAACTCATGATTTTGCCTGACTTGATTCCCTCTTCTACCATCTCCCCCATTTTTACCACATCATTGAAAGGTTTACCCAAGGCCGGGATCAAATGACTGAAGTAGGTGGGCCCCTGGGCTTGTAGGAAAAGCTCAACCATTTCTTCTTCACCAATCGGGGGACTGACTCGAGCAGCTTGCTCCCTCCATCTGAGCCCAAACTCCCTAAAGCTTTCCTCCGGTTTCTTTTCCATCTTAGATAGGGAGGAGCGGTCTGGGGTAATGTCTATATTGTATTGAAAGTGTCGAACAAAATCTTGAGCCATGTCGCCCAATGTATGCCACTTACCGACATCTTGACAATTATGCCATTCCAAAGCTGCCCCAGTCAAGCTCTTACTGAAATACGCCATCAACAAATCATCTTTCTCGCTAACACTTCTCATTTCACTGCAATAAACCCTCAGATGGGCTACCGGATCTCCACACCCATCATACAAGTTAAACTTTGGCACTTTAAACCCCGCAGGCAGGCGAACGTCAGGGAACATACACAATTCTTTGTAAGATATGTTAACCTGGTCTCCCATCCCTTGCATGTTCTTTAAGGACTGTTCTATACCTTTCAGCTTCTTGGATATCTCATCTCGCCCTTCCTTTCCTGTGACCTTTTCATTTTCAGCATGAAGCTCATTCCGAGGGTTCTGATTGTATGAGTCAGGATCCTTGTGGGCAACCTCTGAGGGGCAATATTGGGCATCATGAGCTTTGAGTGGGTGTTCATTGTTGGGGATAGTTGATAAGACTGGAGGGCAGTTTTTGGGAAAGGTAATTGGAGGATGAGTGATGGAGCTACTAGGGTGGTAGGGAAAGCTGTGATAAGCGGGTGGATCTAGAGAGTATGGGGGATCATCTGGCACTATGATCGGAGTTTGGGTAAGGGTAGAGTCTAAAAAACTAGGTGGTGGCGGGGGTGGTGCCCTCCCAGTCATCCAAGCCTGATACATGTCCACCATGTGTTGTCTTAACATCCTTACCTCTTCAACCAACCCATTGCCCTATTCAACCAATTGCTTTTGGGCCCCAGTATCAACCGACTCGATTCCGTTGTCGTCTGCCATTGCCTTTCGACCTTATGTTGTAGAGAAGAGTTACCACTTTAAGAACCACAAACCAACCACCTTTCTGCTATGAAGATGAAGTCATCACGTTAGCATTAGGGCATTAAACATAAGATAATCTCACTTTATGTGCAATGCACCTAGCCACAATTATCGGTTCTAAAATGACTTCGAGGGTACAAAGGTCAGTTGGCATCATCCCAATTTGTTCATTTCAATCCTCTCTTTTCTATGCTTTTCTAGCACTTGCTTGCTCATTTTCTTTCCTTTTTTTTGCTAATTATCACTCTTTTCTTTCTCTCATTTCTCACATCCCATAATTTCATCTCTCTTTTTTCTTTTTCTTTTTTTTTCTTTTTTTCTTTTTCTTTTTTTCTTTTTCTTTTAATAAATAAATAAAAAAATAATTCGATCGAACCCTATGTAGGTTGCCTACGTATCATAACGCCGCATGAATCAGATCTTTGCATAGTTCGAGAAGATCGGGAATAAAGGAAACAAACTAACGTTCTCATTTTCTTTTTCTTTTTCTTTTTTTTCTTTTTACCTTAATGACTACTCTGATGAGAAAAGAGAAATAAAAGAAGCAAATTCTTTTTTTTTGAATTTTTTAGACTTAATGTTCTATAACCTATTCTAAACTCAAGCTTAACGAGCATATATTATTTCTCCTTTTTTTTCTTTTTGAAGCAAATACTCTATGAGAAATTATTAAGGAAAAGACCCTAGAAGAGAAAAATATTTTTATTTTTTTTTTGTTTTTAGGAAGGAAATCTAAAGAATGAACCAAAGAAAATATTTTGAATTTTTATTTGATATCCTTGAAGAAGTATTTCGAAACGAGAAATGATCAAGATAAAAAATATTCTTGGATTTCAGCTTTTGATTACCTAAGGAAGAAACTTTAAAGTTAAACAAAAGATAATGTATGTTTTTTTTCTTCTATGTATAATATCCTAAAGTTCTAATGAAAATAAAAAGAATTTTTTTTTCATTTTTCATTACTTTCCCAAAGAAGAACCTCAAAAGAAAATCTTTTTGGATTTTTGGAATTAATACCTTAAAGGAAACTTTTTAAAGAGGTACTAAAAGAAAATTCTCTTTTTTTTTTTTTGAATTTTTAGTCTTAATGTACTAAAAGCAATATTTGAGTTCTAGATATTAGTTGCCTAAAAGAAAACCACCTTAAAAGATTTTTTTTATTTCTATAATTAGTATTCTAAAGAAAACTTCTAATGGAAATATAAAACGCAACATCTTTTTTTGGATTTTGGATTTATATCACACTTTTTCAAATACAAAATAGAAAGTACAATAATAAAGAAAACTCGACATTACTGTACAAAACTCAAAACATAAAAAATAAAAAGAAAGATCTTCTTAAGCAACTCTTGAATAAGCGATCCTGACTGGATGGTCCCGGGGTGTCTGTCATGCTCAAACTCCGATAAGTAGACCCACACCTTTATGAGAAAATTAAGATCAAATAAAGTTAAAGGCCTAAAACACTATGTGAGACAATAACAGTCCCCATTAGACATATGCAACACATGATTATGACTATTTTTCTAAAATTAACCTATGTGGCTAAAAGTGGCTAAAAATGCAAGATTCGGCTAAGACCCCGCAAAGCTAAAAACCTAAGACTCACTAGGAAGACCGGACCCTATGTGGGTTGCCTACGTATCCCGCCCCGAAAGACGAGAATCAGGTATGTGTAGTTCGGGCAGATTGGATACTGGCGAGAATTAAAAAATCAACTAATTTAGAGAAAATATTTTTTTTGTTTTTTTTTCTTAAAAAATAATGGAAAAGTGCAATTTTTTTTTTTTTGGATTTTTCAATTTATTTTTTTTGTCTTTTTCTTTAAATAATGTGAAAGAAAAACATAACTGGGCCTTACTTGCTTTATTTTCACACTTCACCCTCTTTTCTTTCTCATTTACCCTCAGCCACCATTGGTCCGCCAAATAACCCTTTTACCCTTTGAAGAAATGCAACATGTAGCACATAGGATGCATCAGGATGGTCTTTTATTTTTGGGTACACCTATCCTAGATGAACCCAACCCCTGTGTTGAGTCCCCTAAGCCAAATGCACATGATTCAAACAAACGTGCCCACCAGGGATCCGGCATGAGGTTATGTTTTTCTAGGTTTAAACCTGGGGTTGTATTCTAGACTGGATTTACCCGAGCGGACAACTCGAGCCGAGGTGGGGGCAACGTACCGGAAGCACTAAAGTCTGCCCGGCCTTGTTGCTGGCCCATGCTTCGTTCTTAACTGGTATGACTTCTAACAGAAAGTGGTCCATGCGAATGTGTGCGCCAAATTTAGAAGACTCAGAAGGGTGGCGTAAGAAAGCATTTTAATAACATTCAAACAATATTGAAATGACACATAAACGGCAATTAGCACATTGGGTTCACAATAATATCAACAACAGATAAAGCCAAGCAAAATCATATTACAAGCTCGAATTCTTGAACCCTGAACCAGAGATTCTAGGTTCTTGTCCCCAGCAGAGTCGCCAGAGATATCACACCTCCTTTTTACTACCCCGGAAGGGGATATAAGGGAGTTTTTCCAATTTAAGTGACAATCGAAACGGGATTATTTATATTAAAAATCAGAGTCGCCACTTAGGATAATTGGGTGTCCCAAGTCACCGGTTTAAAATCCCGAATCGAGGAAGATGACTCTAATTACGGTCTGCGAACACAGAAATCCGGGTAAGGAATTCTGTTAACCCGGGAGAAGGTGTTAGGCATTCCCGAGTTCCGTGATTCTAGCACGGTCGCTTTGATCATACTTGGCTTATTAAATTGTCTAATTACTCATTTTAGAACCTGTATGCATTTGCCTTTTAATTAAGAAATTATCTTGAAACGGGTCACGCGTACGTGTACCCATTTGTTTGGCGCGTCAAAAATTCATGTCACGCATACGTGTCCATAATTAATAACGTTATATTAATATTAAAAAAGTTTGGCCGAAGTTGCACGAATGCATACTCCGGTTTCGTTTTTTTAGAAATTGTAATCATCACAATTATTTGATTAATTAAAATCGTGCTTAATGCAAACTACCGTGACTCCATATTAAGACTCGATATTTCAAAGGACCAATCTGGAACATAGAGGCCATACAGCAAAATCAGGTAAGATAAACCAATTAAGATTCCAGCCACCACTTGAAAGAAGTATTTCCTGACGAATGCCTTTGCCGAATCAATAGGACAATCATTGGCAAGCAAAATATCCAGAATTGAAGCAAATAGATAACCAATTAAAATTTTCTGCGGCGGAAAAGCACATAGAGTAATGCTAGGATATAAAGGAACTTGAAACACAAATAACAGTATAGGTTTTTATCCACCTAAGGGCGTAGAAGATAGCCTGGGATTATACGAGTAAACAAAAAATCAATTAAGGAACACAAGCCATTATGAAGATGAACAAAACTAAACAAGATAACAACTAAAATCATGCTGACATAAAATAGGCTCAAGCTAATCAAAGATAAACACCAAATTATTATAAGCCAAGAGAAAATTAGCAGAACTAAGGAAATGTAGGAAACGGACCTTGTATAGGTTTCAAAATATTAGCAAAAAAACATCTCGGCTGGTTTACAAAGAAGATCGAGCCAAAGATACCGGACACCAACAGATCCGTTAACCAAAGACCTCGCCGGAAACCCGAACTTGACAGACCCTCGAACTCGAACATCAAAACCTCCTCATGTATTGGTTTTTGGGACTGGTTTCAGGTTGAAGCAGCAATGGACGAGAGATGGGAGGCGACGACAGTGCGGACGAAGCCGGTCAGAGATCTGGCGGGTATGCGGCTGAAGCAGTGACGTTTCACATGGGTTTTTCGACTGTGATTACACGCTGGAATTTCACTGGACTTTAGCTGGGTTTTGACTAGGATTTTGGGGTGTTTTATGGAGCTTGGCTATGGCTGCTTGGTGTGATGAAGATGAAGAGCAGGTTTTTTTTTGGTTTTTTCGTTTGGTTTTGGTATGGTGAGAAACGGCTGGCTCAGTCTTGATTGTCTCGTTAAACAGAAGCCATGAAAGGCTGCTCCCTTTCTCCAGAAGAAGAGGATATGGAGTAGGGAAGAAGATGAAAGAATCAGTGGTGGGGGGGGGGGGGGGGTCGTCTGTATTCGGCTAACAGTCTCTATGTGTGTATTTTCACTGATAGTCCTTAGGCCTAGGGGTTAGCTCCTTTTTATAGGTTTAGGGTTTTAGGGTTATATTTAGGTTAAGGAGTATGGGCCTAGAAGTTATGGGCTTGAGAATTATGGACTAGGTCTGAAAATTAGGTCTACAAATGGGTCGTTTGAGCCCAAATTTTATTATTTTCCCGTGAATGAGACTAAAATACGATCTCATTTATTAATCAGTCCTACTTAATTAAAATAACTATTAAAATAAGACTGACCGTTAAAACAAAACTATTTTTGGTATTTTGTTAAGATTAAAATGACTACAAAACATTAATAAATTTTTTTTTTTTTGTAATTTTCAATTTCTTGTAAAAAAATAAAGTAAAAGAGTCAAAATTAGTTGAGATAGCGATACTAGGCCTAAATTAAATATTTACACGCTAAAATATAAAAAATCTTGGGGAGGGTCAAAAATCACATGTCTACAATATCTTAGTTTTAACATCAAATTTATGTGAATCAAAGAGGAAATTTGGGAATTGTTGTCAAAGTTTTTAAAAATGAAGATTTGAGTTTTGATAGTCGATTTGAACTCGGATTTGAAAACTAATCACATATATGGACTCGTGGGATTATGGGCAGTTAAATCTACCTTAGGACCCAGGTTTTGACCGGTCGGGCCTGGGGTCTACTTTGTTTGACTTTTTGGAAAATATGTAAAGATTATATCTTTATCTATTAATTTCTCTTGCATAGATTGATGTTATTAAGTCAATTTTGGTTAGATTTGAGCCATGTAGAGGCGAATTTTAGGGGAAAGGCTATATTAGAGGGTTGATATGGCCTAGTTGAGGTAAGTATCTTGCCTAACTTTGTGTGGGGGAACTACCTCTTAGGATTTGGGTTGATTGTGCTATTTGTGTTATATGGAAGACATGTACGCGAGCTGACGGGTGCGTACACGGGCTATATGTGGTAATTGACCACTTTAGGTTATTTAGACTCATTTCTGCCTTTAACTGAATTGTGTTAACATGTTATATATCTCATTGTTAATATACTCTTACATGTGTTGATCTACTCTTACATGCTTTATTTGACATTGTTAGCACTTGTTCTACTTCTTACATGTTATTTTGCTCTTATATGCTTTAGTTGAAGTCATTGCCTTCCTTATTATCTTGTTACCTCTTTAGTTGTTGAATTACTTTTACTGGAAGCTGTTATTTCTTGGAATATCTTCTCTTTGAGTTATTGGTGTTGAAGCTGTAAAAGTCGTTATCACATTAAGGTGAAGCTGTTAATTGCTGAGATATCTTTCCTTGATGAGAAATTCTCATTCATTTTGTTATTGTTGAGATTCTTGTAGACATGGGCTATTTGTTATGGAAACATTGGTATTGTTGACTTTTTGGCAAGTTGTGACATATGGGAACTTGTGGTACGAGTTGTGATTCGGTTGTGATATTGATACGCATGCGGTGGAATAAGGCTAGGGGTTGATACACATGCCGTGAGATATGGTGGGATTGATACGCGTGTTGCTAGTAGGGGAACAACTTGAAGCCACGCGGTGAGATAAGGTGGGATAAAATGCGTGTAGCTATTTCGGGAAAAGTAATTTTCAAAATTAAATGTAAGGCTCATGCGGTGATATAAGGAAATATTTTGATTGAAATTGTGAAATGTGGAAACGAGGTGGTACCTAGGTTGTGATTCTTGTTGCATACTTTATGTTAAAAAGGTTTGTTGGTCGAACATTTTTGTTATTTCCATACTTGTTTTACCTGTATTGTCCGCATTGGTTTCTTGATGTTCTTAACATGTGTTATTCCTTATTACCTTTATTGCTTTAGAATCCGTTGCTAGCTTTCATTACTGAACTGCTTTATTGTCCTTTATTTCTTCATTCTACATTATTTGACTGTACCATATCTTATTCAGTTTTTTTATCCTAGTAGGTATCTTGACCTGGCCTCGTCAATACTCTATCAAGGTTAGGCTTGATACTTATTGGGTACTATTATGGTGTACTCATACTATGCTTCTGCATATTTTTGTGCATATCCAGGTACATCTGCTCATGTCGGACGCTAGTGATAATTCAATTATGACAGGAGACTTCAAGGTATACTTGCCCGACATTTTCAGGCCTCGAAGTCACCTTCTATTATCTTCTCATTACTATTATTTCCATTATTAGACATTCTTGTGGTAGAGGTTTTAGAATATTTATAGAGCTTATGACTCAGTTCCACCAGTTTTGGAAATTATGCTGTTGATGTTCTAAATTCTCCATACGATAAGGCAGAATAGAGATAGGTTAGGTGTCTGGCACCAAATCAATGCTAAAGACAATATCACAATCTGGTGGTATGCTTAGTAAGTTAGCAGAAAATACATAGGGAAACTCCCTCACTATAGGCACTGGATCAATCGTGGGAGTTCCCATCAAAGTATCTCAAACAAAGGCCAGATAGGCCAAACAACCCTCTCACCATATGTTGAGCCTTCAAAACAGAAATAACCTAACTACATGAACTACTGGACGAACCTCTCCACTCCAGCCTAGGCAACTCTACATCATCAGTGCAACAGCTAATGTTTGGCAATTATTCTATATTTTTAGTATATTACATACCTTATATTTTGGTATTTTAATGACAAATTATGCAACATTTGAGCTTAATCGAGTTGATTTTATGTGTAGGACGATTTGAACGCAAAGAGAAATGAAATTTGAATGCAATGATATTCAAAATACAAGGAAAGAGCACAAAAGAAAAATTAGCGCAAGTCGAAGCAGAGCCCGCCCCATACCTCGCCCCACTTGGCCAGAGGCGATGTCTATCTTGCATGGAGCAGGTCTTGTGAGATCCATTACCTCGTCTAGCAAGGTCCCTCACCAGGCCCCAGACCAGGCATCGTGCCTATGCCCCTGTCCGAGAGAAAATTGTTTCCTTGTTGATTTTAGACCTGGTGACTTCGGCCCTAAACAATAAATACCCCCTAAACGTGTCTAAGAGGGAGTTGGAAGTAATATGAAGTAAAGAAGGCCTAAGGAACACAAATGGAGCATGGATTCATCTCATCTTCCATCCTTAATCTCATATTTGTTGTTCTAATGATTCATAATAATATTTTGATTATTCATATGATCATGAGTGGCTAAAATCCTTTCTGTACTAGGGTTATGGGTTTTTCTTGAATATTGATGTTTGATGGTTGTTTATATTACTTGTTTAATAACTACAAATATTATCTGAGTCTAAGAACATGCATGATTAACTCAATGAGTACAAGTTGAAGTCTACCAGACGTGTCAACACCTAACATACGCACTTACACTTGTCACCTCGTACGTATGTAGATCCTATAACACATAGAACATAGCAGATAGAACACATACAGAGATAAGTTCTCTCTTAAAAGGTTAGACAAGAGACTTACCTCGCTCTGAAATCCGAATTGGCTCTAACACCGCTCTAACACCTCAAACTAATGCCGAACAACCCGAAACTAGACAAAGAACGTGCAAACAAATCAAAACATACTCAAGAATCCATAATTTATCAATTAAAAACAATTTCCAACCCCGAATGAAAAGTCAATTCCAGGCCTAGGCCCGTAAAAAAGATATGTCCATGGCATCACAAACTCAAATATATAATTTGTTCTCTAATTCATGTCCAATTTTGTGGTCAATTTCTCTTTTTATCAAATGCTAGGTTTCAAACCAAAATTCAAGATGTTCAACAATTTCTACCAATTTCCAAGTTAAATTCCATATATAATCCATGTATTTAGCTCACAACTAGTTAGAATAACTTACCTAAAGCTTGTTGATGAAGATCTAGGTCAAAATCCTTCAAAATCGAGCTGCCAAACTCTACAAATGAGGAAATGAACTAAAAATCTGAAATGGGGCTATTTATAGAAAAAGTCAAAAACTTATGAAATTTTGGCCGTACACCTAGTGTCACACATGGTTCCATATGAGGTCTCTTTGCTGAAACAGTTAGTTTGCTGGTTTTTTCCAAAGCCCAGTTGCAGACATGCTCGGATCTCGTAAGAGCCCCCAAGACCCCATCCAAACATTCAAACAAGTCCATAAACACATCTCGGACCTATCCAAAGCCTCCAAACACATACGAGATCATCATATCTACTAATTAAAGATCAAACCACAAGTTGAACCTCTCTTAAGTTCAAGAACTTCCAAACTTCCAACCAAGCGTCTGATTCACACTTAAACACTTCGGGTCTCAACCAAACTTTGCATACAAGTTCCATTCAAACAAATTGAACTTATTCCAAGTTCTAGAACAACAATTTGAGTCCACTATATCCAGAGTCGACTATCGGTCAAACTTAAAAACTCTCTGATTCTTTAAATTGCCAACTTTCGACAAATAGGCTCAAATCTTTTAGGAGCATCCAAACCCAAATCTGAACACATGCCTAAGTCCAAAATCACCATAAGAACATATTGGAACCATCAAATCACCAATCTGAGGTCATTTACACAGGAGTGAAACCTTGATCAACTCTTCTATTTAAAGGCTTCTAAAATGAAACTAAGTATTCTAATTCACTTTCGAACCTCATAAAAGCCAAACCACCCATCCTGTCAAGTCACAACACATCTGATGCAAATATAGGAAGTATCAAATAGGAGAATGGGGTTAAAATACTCAAAAAAACTAATCGGATCGTTACACAATGTATAGTTGCGATTGGTAAACATAAGGCTACTACCATGACTAGGCAGCCAGTGATTGTGGGATAATTGATGTGTCCCAGATGGCACATACTAGAAGGGACAAGCACAACAGCATATTTTTTGGAATATGCTACCACACTATTTGCGTAATAAGAAAGTGGATGAAGAGCCAGCTTTTGATATGGTGATTCCAATAGCACCATGTGCTACTAATATTGCTAGTATTCGTGGGCCAGACAAGGAGGATAGTGCTAC